ACTGAGGCCACATGGAAATCTTTTACCTTTATCTCTTGTGCAAAATGAAAAATTCTCCTCAAAGTTGATATAAAAATGCAATTTGATTTTCTGGCATATGATTTATGATTCCAACATGTCTTTTGAATGGAGTAGTCCCATGAGTTCTGGAAAGAACGTGTTTGGCAGGAAATTTGCTTACCTGACCAAAGGGGATATTGAAATGAAATATGAGAGAAAATAAAAAAATTAAAAAAAATTCCAAACATGAATCTGGTTCTTTTGGAAAGCCATAGATAATACAGAACAAAAATAACAGTATGACTGATTTGGATCAATCTCTTGATGGAACGATAATGGTGAGCTTCTGAGAGATCAAAGATAAAGGTTTTTTGCTTTCATCAACCAGGGATGTTTTCACGATAAAAACTAGGCAACCTTCTTTCTATCCTACGTAACATGAGTAAACTTGACCTAGTAAGGGTATGGATGTAATTGGAGCTATAGTTCCCTTTGTACAAATGTCTTAATCATTCTTGGAGGTATAATAAACTATATTCAAAGAATGTTTAAAGAAACCAGGTAGAGGTTAAATGAATAAACTGAGCTTATTTCTAAAGTGTAGAATCTTTAGATGACTGTTCTCTGTAACCACAGACTTAATCATTCATCTTGAGGACTTTTGATGTCCTTTACACCTTCGGGACACTCCACATGCTGCAGACTTTTCACCTTAAAGTGACAGGCTTTCATGCATCAGTAGGAAAATGATATTGTGGACCAGCAATTTTACTACATGCTGTGACTTTACATAAAACTATCCTTAAATATCCTGGTCTAATCATAGTTAAGCTGGGAGTTTAATTACATCTGTGTTTTAAGTTATAATGTTATAAGAGATTATTTATTATGATTTTTGTGAAGCTGTAATGAAAAAATGTTGTACTTTGTTCTTTTTATGTGCTGACAGAACACATGGTAAGAAAAGAGTGATGGCATCAAGCTGATTTTATTTGCAATTTATTTCTTTGGAGAGGTGCCATTTTCTTCAAGAAAACAGTTTGTCAATGTTGTCAGAAAGTATTGACTACTCTCTTAAACAACTGGCTTATTTGTATTTTGTGGCCTGTGAGCCATTGTAATCCAATTATCTGCTCTACACTGATAGGATCATGGGATCCCTGTTTCTTTGTTTGCAGAGTAGAAATCTCAGACGCTAATTAACATCTCATTTTTAACCAGGAGAAAATTCTCACAGTGGGCATTTGTCCATTATCCTCACTCAGGGTTTCAGCTTATGTTTACCAAATTTATGTTCCTTTCACTTCATATATTAAGTATTTAAAATTTTGTTGCGTCTGTTTTTTGTAAGCCAACTTAGAGAGTTTCTGAATCAATCTGTTGTATGAATAGACAGCTAGATGATCAATAGGTAACCAGATAATAGATAATTTAGAAATCAGTCTGTATTAAATAGCACAACTGCAAATATGTGTGGTGCAGAGAAAGACTACTACACTACATCACTGGACAACTTATGCCTGGTTCCTGTTCCGCCCTTAACTAGCCCTCATATTTTGGAAAAGTCATTGCATTTCAATAATCCTCAATGTTCTTACATGTCACCAGGGAGAGTGACTGCATGATGTGTAAAATGCATTCCAACATTCGTAGTACAGTATATGGGACTGAAAAATATCACCAACAAAAGCTTGTAGAATGTTCTAGTGCTGCAGAGGCATGCCAATGATAGTCACTATCATGTAAAACATACTGTATTTTCTTAAACAATGAAGTTTTCTTAGGGAAAAGGTAGAGTTATCAGAAGAGCTTCAAGAATGCCTCCTTGTAGAACTTTAGAACCCTAGTTTTTAAAATTTTTTAAAAGTTTTTATTGTTATGTTAATCACCATACATTACATCATTAGTTTTTGATGTAGTGTTCCATGATTCATTGTTTGTGCATAACACCCAATGATCCACGCAGAATGTGCCCTCTTTAATACCCATCACCAGGCTAACCCATCCCCCCACCCTCCTCCCCTCT